CCACAGTGGCTTCGCGTCGGCGATCTTCTCCGGCCCTGATGCAGTGTCGCAGTTCCGGCTTTGATTCGCGCGTGGTTCTTGCTCAGATCCAACGAGGCCGCCATGTCCCGTCACGTCGCCGTCCGATCTGGTCGGATTTGTTCGCAAGATATCTGGTAGACAGTGTTATCGGATCTCAGAAAGCAAAATCCGATGTTCTCCGACGACGGCGCGATCTCAGCGATGAGCACGAGGACTGGTCGTCTTCTCCAGCGATGAGAACGAGATTTCGTACAATCTTCTCCGGCGAGCACCTCTGATGCCGACGACGGGGCTCTTGAGGGATGTACAATCTCTGAATGGCGATCTCCGTTGCTTGCGAACGATGGTCAGAGGCGACCTCCATCGACGGCCGATCTTGGCCAAGATCCGTCGCAGTGTGTGCAGCGTTCTCTGGTCTTCGCAGCTCACGGATCTGGTTCGCGACGGCCTCTCGTCGGGGTTTGGTTCGCGGCGGCAACCTGGTTCTCAAAACGGTGATCACCATGAGAGATAGGGAGAGTGCTCGGATGAGAGAGAGAAAGGTGGGGCGGCAAGAGACGACTGGGTTCGGTTGAAAAAGAGAAAAAAAATGTAACCGTAAATGAAAGGGTAGATTTGGAAAAGACTAATATATTTTTGAATGAAAATTAGTAATATGCTATAATTTACTATTATTTAAAAAATATGATATTTACCTTAAACATAGATACTAAATATGCTATATATTGTATTTTACGTTATCATTATTATTTATTTTGAATGCAAGAACTTTCTACCTAGTTGTTCATAAGTACTTCAGTTTAGTAACATTAACATTTTCCATTCATTAACGATTCCAGCAAAAAAATTCTGAATGCATTAACTAACTTTCTGCGAGTTTTATGATAAGTTGCCAAAAAACAAAAAACCTGAAAATTTCTGAGTAATGAATGTTCTTTAGCAGGTTCATACATTTTTTTGACTATGATATTATTTGATTAGTAGAAATCTCAAGAAGACAAATATTTTTTAGAGTGTACAAGTTAGATTTTTATTTTTTATTTTTGATTAATATTTTTTTAATCAAATAATTATATTAGTTAAAAGAGTATTAATCAATAATAAAAGATAAAAATTCAAACGCATACGCTCTATAGATAAAGTTAGCAGTTTTCTCTTTATTTTAAAGTTTAGCCCATTTATATTTTAAGTAAGATATTTATTTTTTTAGGTTTCCACAAACCCGGTTCTGAATGCCAATAAAGTCTCTTGTTTTAGCTCTAAAATATACTAAGGGTCCGTTTAGTTCACTGATTCAAATTTTTAATTCGAGTTAAAATATAATTTTATGTGAGAACTTTTAACTATAATAAGAAAAATTAAACGTGATTATTTTTTAAAATTTTTTATTATAATAAAACTTAAATTGATAAAATGAATAGATCTGACTAAACAAATCTGTTGCCCGTCTGTCTTTCTTCATTCTAATATCTTTATGTTCATAAATATAAACATCATAAACAGAATTTAAAAAAAGAAAAAAAGTTTTGTGATTTATTGTTTTGGAGGAAGAAAACAAGCCCATAATTCAGGGTTGGGCTCTAGATCAAGGCTGGTGTCGCGTCTGTGAAATGATGTGGGGTGATTTTAGGTGAAAGACGTAATCCCAAAGTCCCAAAAAACCTTATCATAAGATGCCTTTATTTTTATTTATGTACAATACTATACATGTCTCTGTCACCACTACTAATCACTTTGGCGTGCAATGGAGACTAATGATGGCATAGATGGAACTGACCTTTGCTTTTACCACCACCTCCATCACTTATTCCCACAGCTCCACCAATTCCTCTTCATGGACCATATATTACTCTCCCCCCAAAAACAATCCTACTACTTTCATCAAAAAATTAATTAAAAAAAAAAAACCAATCCTATAATTGACCTAAAATACAAATTATTAACTTCTGTCAAGTTTCACCTAATGAATGACAACCTTTTGTTCATTCTTCAATCGTGGCTAGCGGCAGAGCCACTCAAAGATGAGCGAAGACAGCCGTTTCTATTCATTTTTTCTTAAATAGATGAGCGGAGACAGTTGTCCTCACTTATTTTTCTTTTAAATATTATCATTAAAAATTTTAAAATTTTACATTTAAACTTTTATTAAAATAATATATGCATTCATTAAAATAAATATATTTTTTTATATGTCTCCCACTAAGATAATTTGTTAAAAAAGTTAATATACACTTCTAATAAAGTGAAAGGCTGACTCTGTCACTGATTGTGGCTACAAAAGCTTCGCCGTGTTACAATGCAATTCTCTTGCTTTCTTGGCACTATTGCAACGTTGTTTTTTGTGATTTAGTTACTTACCTCTGTGTTATAGAACCGCACTCATGACTAGTTTAAGAAATGATCCGAATTTTGAAAAATTTCAAAAAAAAATAATAATAATAAAAAGCTCAAATATCGGGAAAATTATATAAGTTATAGACATTAAAATATTTTTTTATATTTTGAGATGTGATAAACTTTGGAAAAAATAAATAAATAAACAACTTTTACATATAAATTTTGTATCTATTAGATAAAAATCCCAATACCAAAATTATGATTGAGATTTCACCGAAATTCAAGCAATATTAGTACCATGAGGTACTATAAAGTGGACAACCATGTTAGCTTGTAAAAATCTTAGCAAATAACAATTAATAAAATGACAATGAAAATATAACATTGACTGTCTATTTTTATAGTTTTTTTTTTTTTTGTGAAATTTTCAATATTTTATCGATAAATTTCCCATAATTTTGTAAAAACAAATATACTACAACAATACTGAAATTTTTAATTTTTTATCATGTTTACCAAAAATTTCTCTAAATTTTGTTAGACATTTTTTGTTATGCCTTAATATATTTTCAGGATCTTCAAAATTCTAAAATTTCAGTAAAAATTTCGAAAAAATTGGTGATTCTTTTTTTGGTCAATGATTGCATTTGATCAGCCAAATGAAAAAGACCCAATTGTTGAAAATTTTTGAATTATGGTACGCCAAGTACATGCGTGTCTGTGTTTTTATCCAAAACTCCAAAAAATGGATACAAAAATTGCATTGGCATTAAATCTCGTCCACAATAAACCATAATCTTCATTCCTCTATTATTTTTAGTTGTTACCTCTATCTCTCTCTCTCTCTCTCTCTCTCCATGTTGTTTAATTATGTGGTGCACACGGATGCATGAAAAGAGTGATGCGGGGAAGTGGGGGCAGTTTTGACAGGACATGAAAGGTCTTTAGATTTGAAAGCTATAAAACCACATTTGTTTTGAGTTATCTTCTGTTTATGGCACGACCCTAAATACAAAGTCTCAAAGTTCTCAAATAATGTAATTAAGATACATTTGTTTGTGTATAAGCCAATAGATCCATGCATGTGTCAAGTCTATGATGATAAGAGTTCCAAAGGTCTCAACAAAATGCTATATAGATCCGACCATTTTCCTTTCTTTAATCACAAGAAAACAAAATGTTGATACTTGAAAATATTCCAAAACTTTACAATTGCATACTCTTCTTGCAAGCAGTACTTATGGCCATTACTTTAGGGTCCACCAAGGTCTAGCCCTCCATGCATATTCATATTCATGTGAATCATGTCCATGTCCATAGCATGCACAAGAATATGATATGGCTTTTCAGACTTTTGACTTTAACGAAATATTTTTTTGTTTCCTACATGGAGTAGACGGTGGAGCAAGGTTTGGGTAGTGGAAGATATCATAATATATGTAATTATAGGTGGTAGGGCCATTGGTCCCACAAAATTAATAACACTAATATGACCCCACTAGAGGGTGGTGGGTAATCATAAATCATAAAATTATCGAAGGTGGCCACATCTCTCGCTATCCTTTGTTTTGATTGTTCTATCCTCTCCTTGACCTTTTCTTTGTTTGCTTTCACTTACGTGGAAAGGGAGGAATTTGCAAAAGCAATAAGAGAATATTACTTTTTCTACCCCTCTACTGAAAATAACTAGTGATTTAGAGAGCTTTCTTTCTTTTATTGTCCTTTTTGTCGTCAATTTCCTTTGCTTCATTTTCTATTTGGGTTTTTGATTAACTTTTCTAAAGATATCTTGAATGATTTCATATTTATGAACTTCGGTTAGTCTTTCAAAGAAATTAAGAGGCAAGACCCTTAAATGTTGGTTGATCATTGACTTTATTGGTACTAAATAGAAATGTATTGCTCGTTGTTTTATCCTTTGCTTACATAAGAATCTTATTAAGTCCAACACTTTGATTGTTGCTAAGACAAAAATCCTTGGATTTCTGTCTCCATGGACCATGGCCATTAAACATTGAAAATTAGAGCCGAGCAAACCAGACAAAAAGTTTTTCTATGGATATATAAACCATGCATGTCTGCAAAGTAAAAGCTACTCTATGAACTTTTTAATTGATCTTTAAAAGTTTCATTTTATAACAAAGAAAATATTGAAAAGGGTGCTCACAGATATCTCAAAAAAAAAAAAAAAACATTGGGCGGAAACTTAAATATCAGAAAGCTATGGTACAAAACCTAAATTATATAAGTTCTAAGGAGAAACAAAGACAAGAATTATTTCTCTTTACCGTTATACGGTGCAAAAGGTAAATTATGTCAAAAGTTGTCAAACAAACTAACTTTTTTCCCGCTTTTTTGCTCTGTTCCTGATTGGAGTTTTGACTTTTCCGTAAACAAAATTTGAAAACCCCTCCTTTCTTTTCGCCTCTTTTCTTGCTTATTTTTGGGATAAAGTTCTTTCCTTCAAAGAAAAGTAGAATCCATTGTTTTCGGTCTTCTTTTTTTTTTTTTTGTGAGTTTATGTTTATATAACAATAACAAGTAGAGTAAGAAAAATAGTCATATTAGAGATTTTGAAAGATTTGAAGTACGATATTACATATTACAATACTATAGCAAGTTAGCAACCCCCAAAGAAAGAAAAGATTGAGGGAAAGGAAAACAAAAAAAAAAAAAAAAGGGCAGAAAAGGATGACCCACCAAAGAGGCCCCATTGCTTTGGCAAATTGCAATCTATGGTTTGAACACTCACTAATAACCTGCTTGATGACAATGGCCAAAGAAACTCATCAACAGCAAGCAACATTTCCAACTGGCTCTCCCTTTCTCTTTCTCTCTCTTCCAGTCGGTCTCTCAAGTCTCCACTTCACCGTCCTTTTTTATTCTCTCCCTTCATATTCCCTTTTTTTCTCTCTTGGGTTTCTTTCTACTTTCTCTCTCTCCCTCCTCCATGGACCGGAGCGAAAAGCATCAACATCAGCAGCAACAACAACAGCTCTCTCTCGCCAAGAGCTCGCGGCATCGTTGCAGCGAATGGTTTGTTTGATGCCTTTGCCGTTTTTGTTAGTATTGTAATTCACTATAAGCAATTGTGAGATTCTGATGGCCGTTTATGAGCGGTTTCTCTTATCTTCGGTCCTACATATGTTATAATTCTCTTGAGACTTGGGAATCACCAGAATTTTGTCTCTAAAAACTTTTCTGTTTAGTGTTCAGCTAATCAAAATCTTGCTGTAATTTTTCTTTTTTTGTTTTTTCTAAGTTTTTGAAAGTTGCAAGCATTTCTTGTAAAGAGTAATTGTGATTGTTGTTCTTAGGATCTTCCGGGATGTTCCAAGTGATATTACTTTAGAAGTGAGTGGGGGTACATTCTCATTGCACAAGGTAAATTCGTCCTCTGCTTTCTTTTCATTCCCTTTTTTCTTTTTTCTTTTTTTAAAATTTTTGTCTTTTCTTCTTGGAAAAACATGACAGCCTTTGAGCTTCTCTTTTTCTCTTTGAGCCTGCCTTTGCTAGTGCATGCTCGGTGCATTATACATGACTTAATTTAGACTTATCTTCTTCATTGTGGAAGCAATAAACAATTAAATTATATAGCTTTAATTCCATAACTTGTTGCCTATGTGCATGCATCTAGTTTATTCTTTGTTGGCCATATCTACTACAAAACAGTTTGCCATCTTATTTATCCCAATCCAAGAACAAAATTTCACTAATACTAGAGGCTTATTTGATTCACTTTTTCCTTTTTGACAAAAGAAATGCAAATCATAGAGATCTCAAAAGGTGACCTTTTTCTAGCATGTTCTGATTTCTTCCTTAATAAATAAAAAAAAAAAGTGATGATCTCCTAGTAATCTCTTCAATTATTGAAGTTCCCTCTGGTCTCTCGGAGTGGTCGAATCCGGAGGCTAGTTGCGGAATACAGAGATTCCGATGTCTCAAGGGTGGAGCTCCTCAATCTACCAGGAGGCGCGGAGACATTTGAGCTGGCAGCCAAGTTCTGCTACGGGATCAACTTTGAAATCACCTCGACAAACGTCGCGCAGCTCTGCTGCGTCTCCGATTACCTCGAGATGACCGAAGAGTACTCGAAAGACAACCTCGGCTCCAGAGCTGAAGAGTATATAGAGAGCATAGTTTGCAAGAATCTAGAGATGTGCGTTGAGGTTCTTCAACAATGCGAGAACTTGCTTCCTCTCGCGGACGAGCTCAAAATTGTCAGCCGCTGCATAGATGCAATTGCCTCGAAAGCCTGCGCCGAGCAGATCGCCTCAAGCTTCTCGAGATTGGAGTACAGCAGCTCAGGAAGGCTCCACATGAACAGACAGGCGAAATGCGAGGGTGATTGGTGGATAGAAGATCTCTCAATTCTCCGAATCGACTTGTACCAAAGAGTTATAACCGCGATGAAATGCCGCGGGGTTAGGCCAGAGAGCATAGGGGCTTCACTAGTGAATTATGCTCAGAAGGAGTTGACAAAAAAATCCAGCTTGTGGAATCCCTCAAGCCAGACTAAAGTTGACGTGATTTCGGGCTCGAACGAGCACGAGAAGCTAGTGGTTGAGGCCATCGTCGGGCTATTGCCCGTTGAGAAACTTGCCGTTCCGATCAGCTTCCTATTTGGGCTGCTGCGAAGCGCGGTGATGCTAGATTGCAGCATTGCTTGTAGGCTCGATCTAGAGAGGAGGATTGGGTCCCAGTTGGATATTGCCACTCTTGATGATCTTCTAATACCGTCTTTTAGGCACGCAGGGGACACTTTGTTTGATGTGGACACGGTGCATAGGATTTTGGTGAATTTTTCTCAGCAAGATGATAGTGAAGAGGACATGGAAGACGCCTCGGTTTTCGAATCCGACAGCCCTCATTCGCCCACACAGTCTGCTCTGTTTAAGGTTTCGAAATTGGTGGACAATTACCTAGCGGAAATCGCTCCGGACGCGAACCTCAAGCTTCCGAAATTCATGGTCATTGCGGACACTTTGCCGGCTCATGCACGAACCATTCATGATGGGTTGTACCGAGCCATTGACATTTACCTAAAAGTACGTCTCTCTTTATCATTCCTTGCAGTTTTGGTTTCATGTTAGTGTTAGAACTGTTTTTGTTTCTGCTTATTAAACATTGACAGCAGAGCTGATTCCACCTAATTTTCATATTATTTAAGTTTAACCATGTTTTAACTTGTTAGCTGATTTTTTTTTTTTAAAAAAAAAAATTAGAGGGGGAGGATTTGAACTTAAGATGTAATTATCACTAGATTATGTCTCCGACCATACTTTTTTTTCTTGGAAAATATATAATACAAATTTTAAAAATTGTCTGAGACCATACTTGTTAGTTGTAATTTTTACTCAAATAATGAAAATGAAAAAAGGAAATATCTAATGTCACTAACTAGAAATCACAAAATAAAATTATATGGGTTATATGGATTTTTGTATAATACTCTGCAAGTTTCAAAGTCAACTTACAACATATTGATAAAAAGAAAAACTAATAGAGATTTTGGTGATATCATCTGGAATAATGATGCATAATATTTTATTTTTCACAAGAATAATATACATTAGCACCCACTAACTACATTATCTACATACCTGTGATGATATAACAGCAATGTTACTGACAAAAAGTTGGGCAATAGGTCCTGTAAATACTACTATCTGATACATACAATGCAATGTCAAAATATGGTTGTCAATGGCATACTAATGCTGATATTTAATTTTATTTTTTCAGTCGTGTAGTATATAATATGTCAAATGGCTCGGATTCACTAGGCTTCAAAACGGTTATACTACAAACATTGGTTTTTTCACACTGATATGTATATGTCGTCAACAGGCGCATCAAAACTTGTCGGAGACAGACAGAAAGAAGCTCTGCAAACTGATCGATTTCCAGAAGCTCTCGCAGGAGGCGGGCGCGCACGCGGCGCAGAACGAGCGCCTCCCTCTGCAGTCGATAGTGCAAGTCCTCTACTTCGAGCAGATCAGGCTGAGAAACTCCCTCTGCAGCTCCTACGGCGGCGGCGGCGGCGACGACGACATCGACCCCAAGCCGATCATGCACCAGTCGTGGAGAATCAGCAGCGGAGCTCTCAGCGCCGCCATGTCGCCCCGTGACAACTACGCCTCGCTGCGGCGGGAGAACCGCGAGCTCAAGCTCGAGCTGGCGAGGCTGCGGATGCGGCTCAACGACCTCGAGAGAGAGCACGTGTGCATGAAGAGGGACATGGAGAAGTCCAACTCTAGGAAGTTCATGTCTTCTTTTTCAAGGAAGATTGGTAAGCTCAGTTTCTTTGGGCACAGTTCTTCCAGGGGATCCAGTTCTCCTTCCAAGCAATCGTATAGGACTGATTCTAAGGTCATTGAGAGAACATGTGCATCTACAGATTAGTATATACATACATATAGTTTGGTATATTTTCAGGTTTTTTTTTTTTTTTTTGCCTCCCTTCTATTTGTTGATTAACTGCAAATCATGCTAGTTGTAATGACACTTTTGTGTATGTTTTCCTCTTCTTCTTCTTCTTGTTTTTTTTTTTTTTTTTTTTGCTATTTTTGGGTCATCTTGTAAATGAGTTGCCGTGCTCTTGATGAGTGATAACAGGGTATCTTCTTGACAGCGAGTGATGCTTTTGTGTGAGTAGTACACAATGATTTTGTTCCTTCCGGTGTTTTTACGTCACAACAAACGTTTGATTACAATAATGAATGTCGTTTATTGCGTATAAACGATAGAGAAATATTGAACTAAAATAGACTAGTTTCTCGAAATATACGAAGCAAGAATCCGGTGGCGGCGTAGTCTATTTAACCGCATGTCGTTTCTTACCGACATGTCGCTGTAAAATAAGCGACGTTAAAAAAAATCAAATAGGAACGCCATGTCGTTGTTAACATAAGGAACGTCAAATTTTCAAATGAAAACGACATGTTTGTTTTATTTTAGGGCGATATACACATATAGGAATATCAAAATTTAAATTTAACTAAAGTGTTTAAATATCACAAGAATAGCAAAGTTTTATATCATTAAAATAGTGATTATATCATTATATAGTACAAAATATGATATCATTTTGATACTTCTATATCATTTTTGTTATATTTGTAATATTTAGAAATTTTGTAAATTTCAATGGAATGTATGAAATTTTATCATGTAGTGTAATTATCACTTTATTATTAGGTGAAAGAGGAAAATATGCCCATTTAAGAATGGAGTAAAAATTGATAGGCATAAGTTTGAAAAGAGTTAGTAAATAGATCAACTTAGTGTAAATCCTCAATTAAAAATCTGAAAATACTTCTAAATTAAAATGAAAATTCTAAATTCAAATAACCTAAATTTTTTCTTGATTGTCTCTCTCTCCTTCTTTCTCTATTGCTGTCGACTGCAAATCGGCTCCGACGCATATGTTTGCGAGATCCGTCACCCTCTTGGCTCCAACAATCTCTCCTCCATGCAGCTTTGCGAGCAACGAAGCTCGCCATCTCCTATGTGCGATTGGCGTTCGCGATCTCCGGTGGCTTCGTGGGACTAGATCTCCAACGAGATTCAACATCTCTAGTGGACTAGAGATAGAGAGAGACGCTGAGGAGCCATTTCTAATCTACAATCTCGATTCCGTATGGAGGAGAGAGATAGGCGAAGAAAGAGAGGAGAGGAACTTCGAATCTAGTACTCGTGCGGCTGTGGCTTTCACACTGTCGCATGTGAGAAATTTGCCATAAAGTATAGTACATATGTAACACCCTAAAGAATTAATTGAGACTAATTAAGGAAATTGAGATTATTAGTGTGCCTAATCTGGATTATTAATTGAGTATTAATTAATAAATGTTTCTGACACGTGTGAGTTTAAATAGTTCCAAGGTAATTAAATTATTCTCAGTAATTTATTTAAACCCAGAAGTGTGTATGGGTGCATTTCTGGACTGCTCTTTTAAAATATTGTACACATGTCCTTTTCTTTTCTTTGCTCTATTTCCTTTTTCCTTCCCGTGCATCTCTCTCTCACTCTCCCATGCATCTATCTCTCTCTCTCTCTCTCTCTCATTTTTGTCCTAAATCAAACGGATCTTGAACCAAGGAAAGATTTAAAGAAGTTTTCAACGTCAAGAGGAGGGTTCGAGGTAAGATTACTGAAAGAACCTCTTTTGAATCTCAAGTTTTTGAATTTCAAAACTTATTTTTGGTTCAAACCGGATTTTGATGGTTTTTTAGTAAAACTAGAGTAGAAATTGGAGATCTTGGGTTCTTTAGACTTGTTTTAGGACCTAGAACCCAGATCTAGTAGTTTTCCTTTGAAATATTTTGATTTGGGACTAGATTTGCAGGTTTTGGACTGATTTTTGTGAGCTTCTCTCGCGCAGCTGATTCCACCGGTCGACCGGTGCGGTCAACCGGATCACATGGAAACCGGTCGACCGGATTGCAGGCTGACCGATCGACCAGTCCGGTCGACCGGTGTGCACACTACCGGTCGACCGGTAGTGTTGCACTACTCTGTCACCGGTCGACCGGTTGACACGGGTTTGACCCTGTTTGGCTTGAAAATGATGTTTTGACCCCTGTTTTTGGGGAGAACCCAAATTAGCTTCATTTGGGGGCTTGAGATGAATGGATTAGCATATTTAATTCTTGATTTGAGATTGAAAACCCTTGGAATGATAATTTGAAACATGAAAATGGATTAGGGCACACTAATTGAGAATCTTGGAGCATAATTGAGATTTGGATTGCTTTAGGAATGAGAATTGATCCTAAAGTGTTGTCTTGCATCAGTGATTGATGAGGATTCAGACTGAGGGGGCTTGAGAAAGCGGAAGCCGGAAAAGGGAACGCTAGTCCCAGGTTTGATCGTGCGAGGTAGGATTTCTATCCCTTTTCCTTGTGAGCCTGTTTTCAAAAGGATTTTGGCATTGAAAATGTTTTAAAGAAAGGGGTTGGTTTGCAAAAGAAAAACTCTTGAAAACCATGGCTTGTTTAGTCATGGAACCTCATGGCTTGCCCAGTCATGAGGCCCGCGGCTTGAGTAGTTCGTGGGGTCATAAAAATGATTTCATAAAAGTTAATGAATGATTTCTTAAGCAAAGAGATCTTGTGAACTGGTAATAGAGTCTATTGCTGTAAGCCTAGATATGATGTGGAGAGTGCATCCTCGGGAGCAGAACCCGAAACTCGGTCTGGGTAGGCGAGGCACTTGATTAGGTAAGTAATTTGTACTAATTACTTGCTGAAGCCTGTAATATGGAGATTTTACATTTATTTCTTCTGAGAAAAAGGATGTGAGGTTCTGGCTGTCTGTTGGAACTGAATGTCTATTTATTTACGTACCCATTTATTTATTTACTTGCACTTTGTCTATTTACTTTACGTCTTTGTAAATAACATCCTACTGGGCCTTTCGCTCACGTTTTATGTTTTAAATGTATTAAACCCCTCCCAAGAGATTCTAGGAGTGGTGCAAAGTAGCTGGATAATTACTACGGAGCAGCTGAGTTGTGCTGCTGTTGGAATCAAGTGAGGATCGTTGACATCCTCTTGGACAAATGTAAGAAATTTAAGAAATTCTGTAAACTTATGTAATATTTAGATTAACTAAACTGTAGTTGATGTCTGTTGTAATGATTATTTACATGAGCATGTATGTACGATATTGTATGTCCTGTGGGGTGGAGCCCTGTGTGTCAGAGGCTCCAGAATTCTGTAAGTTATTTATATTTTAATGTAGTTGAGTGGGACTCGTCTGGGAATCTGCTTTATTAACCCCTAATCGAGCTCCACGTCACCCACCCCGTTTGAAGGACGTGACAACATATAAAATTTAACACAATAAATAGTACTTAAATGTTAAATAAAGTATAGTACATATAAAATTTGCATTAAAAAGTATTTTTTGCAATTTGTAAATTAATTATAACATTACATTACACATGCTTTAAAAGAAAGAGAGAGACGTCAAAAGAGAAAGAGAGGAAGAGAGAGATAGTTTAAGGAATATGGGTAAAAAGGTAAAATGAATCCTTTTAAAATATGGCCTATTAATTAATAATCTTAGTAAACAGGTTATTTACTTTCTCATGTTATAAAAACAGGCCTATTTACTACAATTTCTCCTTTATTATTTTAAGCGATGGCCAGTCTAAACGCTAACCACACGGGCATGTAGTCTCTGGATATAAATGAAGCAAACTTTAACAGAGAAACGACGTCTTTTTATATGTAAACGACAATAAGATTCGAGATCATAACTAATGACACGTCGTATCACTCGTGTGAGCTATACAGTCTTACAAACCTCAATGTCAAGAAATGATATGTCGTTTTCACTGAAGTTGGTGAACTTTAAAAACTGGCGATTTGTCGTTTCGATCTTATAGTTTTTAGGTAAATTGTATTTCAAAACATAGAAATACAAACGCGATTCGTTTGTTTCGATAGACGTGTAGTACTGCAAAAACAGGCAACTAATTAAAAAACTTGACAGATCACACACCCAAATGATCTATTACAGTCATTGTGAAGGTTTTCCAAAGACAAAAGGGAGATGTGGCTTCATGTTTTTCTTGTTTTTTTTTTTTCCTTCTCCGAAATATGCTATCTAGATTACGTATGGCCTCAAGCGTATAGCGGGAATATCACCAATTAACGAAATCCGAAACTCTCGCTCGACGTTCAGTACTTGCGCTTTTCCGTCTTACTCTCGCCGTCTCCAATCTCGTCGGCAACACAAAACTCACTCTCAAACGAAGCGATTTCCGATCGCTGTCAGCTTTTCTCAAACACGATTTCAAAGTCGCCGTCGCCGATTCTTCCCGATCTCGACGACACGAAACAGAACTAGAACCTCCGTGATCACCGCCATTGCGGCTATAATTAGGTTCTAATTGCGCCGTCTCCGACAGCAATTGCCGCCGGAATTCCCAGTAACTATTTCTCCGCCCCAACCAAGGAGAAGAAAATTCCTCGCCGCCGTCACTTCCCGATCGCTGGGGAGCAATTTCTTCACTTCCAGAACCCGCGCCTTCGTTAGAGTTTCGCTGGATCAGTCGCGGATTCATCTGGTAGTGGTGGCCGTGGCCTTGGTGTTTGGGAGTCATTCCGGCGAAGGCCTTATACGGCTGCGTCGTTTTGGGCGGAGCTGCGGCGCGATTTCTGCGTTCTCGCTTGTTCTCGGATTTCATGAGATCGTAGACCGTGCGATCGGGGACGAGGAAGAAGACTTTCCCTGGAGGCAGAACTGAGCCGGGATTTATCACGACCCACGGGAATTTGAACACGTCGGGTCGGGTTATGCAGTGTCTAGGGTTTTTGCTCATCACTTCCCCGGCGGTTATCGGCTCTCTCAGAATCTCCACGTACCGTCCCGGGTGAACCAGTTTCACCATACCTTTTTCTGCTACGATAGATCTCATTCTCTCTCTCTCTCTCTCAGTATATATTTTTGCAAATCTCTCTCTAAAAATGTATCTTAATACTATTTTCCTGAGCAAGTTAGGAATAGAGGAAAAAAGGAAAGGAAAAAGGGAAAGACGAGCAAATCTTGGGGTTGTTCTTATAGTGACACGTTTTTGTAATAAAGACAATGGGGATATGTATTGTTTCGATGATTCCTATGAAAGTATCTTAGGATATCACGACTCCGTTAAAAAATTTGCTGGAGGTATTGTAATTTATTTATTTATATATAAGTGATAAATCCGAGTACATAATTGGCAGGATTATTGAATCTAATTTCGAGGAGGCTCTCGTGCTTATCTTGTTTTCGGTGGCCTCAAGAAATCAACTTGATCAAATAGATTCTATGCAAATGGCTTGGTATGCAAAACATGATAAAAGGTGTAGCACGTGACATGTTGACACTAGATTCTGTTTATTTTATCGATTTGAATTTAAAATTTGAGTTTTGTTACAGTAAAAAGCTCTTAGAAACACCAATTTGAATTTAAAATTTGAGTTTTGTTACAGTAAAAAGCTCTTAGAAACAGTAACATATAACTTTTTTACTACAATAAAAATCTCTCATTTAAAATCACGTCTAAACTCGAATTAAAAACTCAAAATCTGCAAACTAAACGAGCCTTAAATCAATATAAATAGTTGCACTTGGATTTTTTATTTTTTATTTTTTGAGGGATGCACTTGGAAGTTTCATATAAACTTCTTTTGAAAAAAATAGAGATTTCTTTTGATGGGGTATCATTTAGGTATGACATTGTTTTCAACTTGATATTTATAAAACTATGTTCAGTTGTATTTCAATCTGATTTTGATCAAACATAACATTCGTAAAGTATGCATTGTACTCGATAAGAACAAAATGTCGTAAAAAACTAAACAAAAAAAGAGTGATGAATCAATATGGCATACAATTCTTTCATTTTCTTCCTTAATTTAAAAGTGGGAATGGAGATTGAGACTATAAATGGCAAGGGTGAACGGCAAAATTACCGTTAGTCTAAGTGTGTGAACTAAGGAGAAATTGTTAATCATATAAGAATCTGGTGAATTTGTGATTTTGTTCGTTCTGGATAAAAATGCATGGCATGATTTTCTTGAGGGATTGTCTTTTATGAAACGGCCAACTTATTGCTTTGATTCTATTATTAGATTAAAGTCCGTACGTACAGTATTATATATTGATATCTATAACCGAAAAATCTATGTGCCATGAGGGAATTTTGGTCAAGTCAAAACCAAGGCTAATTAAAGTAGGTTGGTTTCCGCGGATTGTTCAATGACGAATAGTACCGCATACGACATTCTGAAACCATGGAACTGAAGAAATATTTTGACAATAATTAGCTGTAATATATAACCCTTGAAATTAACCACCTCTTAGACGATTGATGTAAATGCGATGCACGAGCCAATTAATATGCTCGTTTTTTTATTTATTTGTATATATTTCTGATAATGATCAAAGTAGATGTTAGCTTCCAACTTCACAAACGTAATTTTCCTTGAATATTGTTATTTAATAACACACAAGTATCAACAGAAACATTGCTGAGATCGTTGATGGTAGAGGCCAAATGGGTGTCCTTGTTTCCCATTGGCCCCTATCCAGGTTGGTCATTGCTTTTGCTCCACCGCTAAATTGGCTCAATATCATAAAGAAGTAGTCCTATTCAAACAAGCTCCTACTAAACAAACTTCTAGAGAATTCTCTCTCTCTCCACACACACACACACCTCTTCTTTTTATGGAAATCTAAAGAAACCATCAAAGGGACGTAGATGACTAGCTGATTTGAGGATAAAATTCAGTATCATTTAAAATACAAAGTATAGTAGAATTGTTATTAGAAAGGGGAAAAATAACGAGAAAAGTAAACACCACTCTTTCTCTGTTATTTTTATATTTATTATTTGACACGTAATCTGTATTAACATAATATATTATTTAAATAAAAAATAAGATAATAAAATGAACGAATCAAATAATAAATAGAAAAAATAATCAAAAAAAAAAATGATACTAGCGTCTTAAAAAAAAAAATAGAATTCCACCTCTTATTGTTGAAGTCAAAAAGGAAAGAGTTACTGGGCAACAAAGAACCAACCAACCAAAAAAGGCTGCCCATGGAAAACTGATGAGTGGTTGTTGCTCAAGAACCAGAATTAATGAGTGATCATAAAACCGGGTAGGCGGCCCACAGATTGGCAACAGTACTAATTTTGTCATGCTTTTTAAAATTTCTTAAAAAAAAGAGTTTCTCTTTTTTATAAATATATAATTAAAATCACGTTGAATTAAAAAAATATAATTTTTAATATTAATTTAACGATTAAATAAAGACAGTTAGTGAAATTCATTTTTTTAATCCAATGAGAGATACACACCTGAGAAAAATACTACACATCTTCCAATTGGGCCATATAACTATTTGTCCTGGTAACAATTTGTACGTGAATCGTCATTAGAAACAACACGTGTTACATGCTATTACGAAACCAACGTCTTTTTTTTTTTTTTTTTTTTGTTCCTAGTATTTTATCATTAAAAGGCCATATAGACCAAAACAAACTCAAATTTGTGAGATCACAAGTCAAGTGAAAGCAGTAAGACAACATGAGATTTCACTAAGAGTGGCAAAAGAGAAGGCAAAAGCAAGCACAAACCCATTACCAGGAACAAGTCAAAATTCAAAATTCAAAAAAATAAGAAATAAAAAAAAAAGTGGTATCCTCCCACCAGTATTATCAACATCTTATTGTCAATGTTTTTCGATTTTTTTTTTTTTTTTTTTTGGTTTTCCCTCTATTCAGAAGTTCAACTTTTTATGCTGCTGATTTGGTGTAGAAGCGGATTCCCACAGCCACACCCAGAATAACAAGGGGAACAAGTAATTGAAGGACCTTGATGATGAACTGTGACGTCTTGTCCTGATTGTAATAAGGCTGCTTTGGTGGTGTGTATTGGACCTTAGCAGGAATAGTTGCTGTGTCAATATCTCCAACATAGAACTCATCCATCACTGCTTTTGCACTTGAACTGTGTCCCACATCCTCAAAGTCATTGGTTGCATCTTTTCCTGTAAATCATCCTTTGATGTTAGTGGTTTTGAGACTTTTCAGTGGTAAAAATAACACACACATATATATATATTTTAGTTTGTGTTCGGATGAAAAATGGTTTTCATCGTCAACCTGTGCTTGATAGTAAGACGTCATCACCACCGGGATGATCTTCCAAGAATTTTGTCACATCATAAACCTGTTGATCCAACAAATAAAGTTGATGCTCAAAAAAAAAAAAAAAAAAAAAGCTAATGGAAGGGTATCAAAGTCAAAGCAGAATGGCTACCAAATAATTTCGAAGCCTAGCCACACACCCACATATCCCTCTAGCATTTTTCGTAAAATTTTTTAAGATTCTTTTGCATATCATGTTGTAAATTTTTTAGTAGGAAGATGATATATTATATATTTGAGAAGATGGATTTTCTTTTCCATATAAAACAGAAGAAAAATGCTGGCACGTCTAACTTTATTCTGATTTTTTATCACCAGCTTAAAAATGTCATGTCAATTAATAAAGAGAAATTAAAAATGAGGAGCGATTCTCTTTCTTATCTAATTATGTGTTTATTTACAAAATTAATAATGGAAATTTAGCAGGTCCTACATAATATAAGGAATGAGAAAAGAGAATGTCAATCCTTGCACTCTCTTTAATATTAATTCTTTGTCGAATACAAAATTTACTTATCCACCTTTAATAAATTACTTTATAGTTAATGATTATCAAATTGTATAAAAACACATTTTAGTGGTTATATTTATAACATTATTGTCCCAAATTTTAGTAAACATAAAAAATAAAATGAAATTGTTTCTCATTACACCATCTAATAATTAAATAAATACATAAAAGAGAATAAATAACCTTTAATTCTATTGCTTTACTTTTCTTTCTTATCCTAATATTTTTCTCACTACATTCTTTTCAGTTGAATAAGCACGCCCTTAAAAAATAATGTTTCTAGTACTACTGAAAAGGAAATGGTGTAATATTACCAATAAGATAGAAAGAAACAACCAAATGAAATGAATATAGACATGACTGTATAATCAATAAAAATGCACAAAAAGGACTCAAGCTCACGCCAGGGTCATCACAAAAAATTGCGACCTTTCCAAATCATCATTTCTAAAGCATCCTTGGTAATACTCATCTAAGTTTCTAATACATATCCAGAGCATCCATTCCGATACTCTACAAGTTTGACTTTCAAAATTCAGAAAATGAGACAAGTACTTTTTGAGTGAATAAATTTAAAATTTTATCCCTTATTTTTTATTAATAATTTTTTTATTTAAATAATTATATTAATTAAAAAAATATTAATTAAAATGCACTTTAAAAAGTTAAGTTTAATAATTTCCTCTTTAGAAAAAAAAAAAAAAGAAATTTTGACAGTTACTGTGAAATAAATGAAAAGATGCCATATTTCGCATTAATCAACAAAAAGAAAAAAAAAATTGAAAAAGTAATAATGTTGAAATCCTTACATTCTAAAACAATAAACATTCTTCCCCTGTTTTGATTAGAGTTTACTCTTCTAAACTCGAATCAGACGCCCAAAAACCAAGACTGTTCATATGTTATTATCAACACAAAAGCTCAGAACAGAGCAGTCAAATCAGACAATACATAAACAACTGTTCAAAGAGGAATCAAGTCAAATGAACAAGGAAAAAAAAATGAAATCTTGAACAAATTATCCAATAGGAATTCACCGAATGATTATGCCACAGTTTCAAAAAATCGGTTTAAAACAAAGAAAATCCCAGATCCACTTGACCATCACAACAACATAATCGGTAATCCCTGTGAATCTTATCATCGAATTTCAAAAATACTACGATACCAAAGAGATCAAAACCAAAAGAACCCACAAACGAAAAACAAAAACCAAATTGTGAGTTGCCTCAAAAACTGGATCACGAAATGACAAAACACACCTTGCCATGAATGACGAGCAAGCACTTTTCGCGGTTGTTGTGCTGAGAAACCTCGGCCAAGGTGTAAACTTTGCCCATTATAAGAGTAGAGAGATCTCACGAGTGGTAAGCTTTTGGAAACGGACCTAAAGTACTTGTGCTCTTCACACTCCAAAAGCTGTGTCTGGGCTTTGAATAGCAAATGGAGAGAGAGAGAGAAGGGGGTTGGTGAGATCAAAATCCGGTTTGATTTGGTATGGGGTTGGTAATAAAATAGACTTTCCAATGGGTTGCGGGTGGTTTTCCACCAACTACCCCATCTTGCAAGTTTTGCACTTTTGATCCCTTGTTTTATTGAATTTCTCCGTTTGGCATCTCAATAAAAAAAAAATACACAAGATGGCAATTATTATCTTTCTAGACCGCATCGTACCCGCATCATTCCAATTCTAAGCTCAACTCCGACCTATCTAATGCTATTTGATCTAATGGCTATTGGCAATATAATAATTAGGGCTCGTTTAGTTAGCTGATTTAAATTTTTAATTTGGATTGAGATGTAATTTTATGTGAAAATTTTTTACTGTAGTAAAAAATTTAAATATAATTGTTTCTGAGAATTTTTTATTATAACAAAACTCGAATCGTTGAAATGAACGGGACCTTAATTTAGAATCCGTATTTTAATTGATGGTGTAGCTATATTGACGGAATATAAACTTTCAAATTTAATGTCACGAAAAGGTAAATGAACACTCAAAATTTGTGATCATAAATCAACCACGGTATTTTATTACCATTTTATCACAACATTAGTGGTTTGTTAGACTTTTCTTTTTTTCTTTTGGAAGTTGTTATTGAATGCCGATGATATCAAAAGATCATAAACTCATTAATGCATTCAGCAAAAGAAGAAACATAAAGTATCGCCTTTGCTTTATTTGATCTAATGATCACTGGCAATATGACAATTAAGTATCCACATTCTAATTATTATTGTGTCTAGATTGACAATAAACAAATCTTTATGTTTAATACTTTTAAAGAGACAAATCAACACTCGAATTTATAACTGTAAGCTCCACGGTATTTTATTACCACTAGATCACCACACTCAATGGTTTATTGGACTTTTTTTTAGAGATAGTTATAAGAATGTTAGTAATGACAAAAAATCATAAATTCATTACTGCATTCCGCAAAAAAAAAAAAAAAAAAAAAAAAAAAAAAGCCCCCTTTTTTTTTTTTT